ATCGACGCTTGGGAAGCCGGCGACCACCAATCGGAAGTCGAAGAGGTCAACTTTGATGCATTTCCACAACGACATCATTCTCACAGCTAAGGCTTTGAATTCAGTCAGGACCACGCAGAGACAGAAGAAAAAGATGGTTAGTATTTACGTTTTCTTTTCGGAAATTTTGTGTAAATGTTGTGAAGGATGCAATCTTTTCTTTTGTTGGAGTTAGAGGTTTCATCAACGATTATTATTATTGTTATCGAGCGTTTTGTTCTAAGTTATTATTTTAGTCTTATCCGTAGTGGGTTTTGTGATCGATCCAGGCTTGGGCCTGTTGACTTTTGTGCTTCGGGTTCTGTCTGTTTGAGTTGCATTCCTTTAAAATGGTCGGGGTTAGAATCCGAGCACATATCAGATTAATGACATCAAAATTGTTTGTAAAAGGAAGAGTAAGCTTGGTATTTTTTATATGGGTCAGGTCAGGAAGCTCGTTTAATAAATGGGTCGGATCGCATTAACCCATTTATTAAACGGGTCGGGTTGGGTCACACTTATATGGGTCGGGTCAACTATGACCCGACCCGACCCGACCCGTTTGCCACCTGTACTTCAAACCATATAAAGAACGTTTTAGTTTGCAAACTTCAGTAGGCGAGGAAGTAGGCATACCAAATGAAAGTTTCATATAAATTTCTTGTGACACCCCGACCCGACCCGACCCGTTTGCCACCTGTACTTCAAACCATATAAAGAACGTTTTAGTTTGCAAACTTCAGTAGGCGAGGAAGTAGGCATACCAAATGAAAGTTTCATATAAATTTCTTGTGACACCCCCACTTTAGTCCCATATGGACTAGTGTGAAAAAATATTAGTGGCTTAAATAGAAAAGTCCAAAGCCCAATGATACGAGTCGCTGTGCGAGCACCTTTGATCGCGGAATTATCAAATGTGTGTTGAGAAGAAGACAATAGAAAACACAAGACAATTCAGTTTTGGTGAAAAAAATACCTTCTCTAGATTATGAGTATCAATTGTTTTACAAATCTCTCTCATAATCTCTCTAGAATAGAGAACAATCCTTTCTAATCTTCAATCCATGAAATTCTGGTTGGGGAATCCCTAAATAATAGGGTTTTAATTTATACAAACACTAGAAACCAAATCCCAATAAGAACCTGGAAAAACAGCCCACCCGTTATAAGTCGACTTACGGGTTCCGTAAGTCGACTTATAAATAGTCAAAAACGTGCACAAACCCCTTAAGTCGACTTATGAAAGCATAAATCGACTCAGCAGAAACTTTTTGATAACTGGAGTGAGTTTTGTAAGTCAATTCATGCAAACCTTAAGTCGACTTATAAGTCGACATATGCAAACCTTAAGTCGACGTATGAACTGAAAACTGCACGCTTCGATTTCACACTCCGTTGTTTCGCTTCACGCTTCAACCTGACGCTTCTATTCTCAAGCTACCATGAAAATTGTCTATCCTCAAGCTCCCATGAGGATCACTAAACTCCCGAAGCAGAGAAGAAGATACACCCGTATCATGGCTCCCCCTTTTAGGAACTTAAAGTCTCGTTCAACCTAGAACTTCAGCTGAGAGAACTCTCGAGCCCTTCCTTCTTTGTTGAACCACCTGGCCTTGCTAGGAACCTGATCTTAACGTCCAACCAAAAACGATTCATTCGTCCCCTGTCTAGTCGTGGTTACTTTCCGCTCCAAAATGCAATCTTCTTTCAGTAGCTTCTCATAAGGCCTAATGAACAATGAGACAAACTTCTTGCTTGTATTCACTAGTCTCTACGCTTGGGTCACCGTTACCAAGTTTGTCTCCTTCGAAAGAGATGCCGAACGAAATATGAACTTCTCACCGTCTTTGGTGAATGTGCACTACTGAGCCCGCCTTTCGTAGATTGCGTATCTATCCCACAAATACGGATTGTCCAGTATAACCTGACAAACATCCAACGGAACGACGTCGCACGTGACCTCGTTAATATACGACTCGTGGAGTACAAATTTGAAAGTGCATTGATTAACTACACTCAGCCTCGTCTCCTTTTGAATCCACCCTAATGGATAGAGTTTTGGATGTTTGACCGTCTTCAGACCTAGCTTCCAAGCCAAGGTCTCGGATATTAAATTCTTCTCGCTGCCTGGATCAACTATGGCATCTACTAAACTGGTCTTCACTTGCAACTTAAGAACAAAGAACTGCTCTCTGGGGTCTTCGTCCTCCTACGCGGCCTGCTTCTCTGTCATAAGATTGAGACTGTTGTTGACTCCGTCATCCCGAAAACTTCATTCGGATCTTGTGCTATCATGTATGTTTTTTTCTTTTTTTTCTTCAACCCCTTCGGTTTCAGATGAGGATACTTTTTCCAGCACTGATCAGCCATATGTCCTGTTTGCTTGCAGTGATTACAAATCAATCTTATCTTTCCTGGATCACCCTTCTTCTCTTCCTTAGATTGAGAGCAACTAGACTTGCCTCCAGCTTGCTCGGAATCTCCCTTCGTCTCGTTGCCCTTCTTCTGTTTGTCCTCAATGGCAATAGCCTTCACACTCGTTTCTACAATGGACTCGACCGTGAACAGCTTCATCTCCTTCCGGATGTATTCATTTAGACCCGCCATATACTTTATGAACATGGAGTATTCATCTGTTGCGATATTGAGGACCATCGCCTGTTGCTAGAACTCCGTTGTGTATTCTTGAATGGTCTGATTTTTATTTAGCGTAAATCGTACCACTTGTACCAACGCTCCCCAAGGAATCCCACTAGGTAGAATTGATTTCTCAGTAGCTCATTGAACTTGTTCCACAACACCATCTTCTTATCCTGCTTACAGTAGTATTTTCACCACATCAACGTATATCCTAAAAGCTTCAAAATCGCGAACACAATCTTCTCCTTGGACGAATAGTCATAAAGAGCAAAATATGTCTCCATCGACTTGATCCAGTCATCAAGTCTCTCGACGTCAACACTCTCATCATAAACAGGGATCTCTATCCTGAAATCAATCTTTAAATTCTGGTAAGGACCCTTACCCCTTGGTGCGGAACAGTCTTGACGGTGTCCATCTCCTCGTTGGAATCAAAATTCACGCTCTCTCCATCGAACTCCACATGTTTCTTCTTAAATTTCGAAGAAGATTCTTCCTTTTTGTCCCCTCCATGAATGAGATCGACGAGTTGTGTGTGAGTCGATCCTATCGTCTCGATATGCTTCTCCAATGCACCAAGTCTCGATGAGTTATCACTTTCAGTCATCTTCTTCTTCCTTAATTTCTGGACCTCTTCCAAAAAAATAAGGATTTCGTCTAGCTTCTTATATTACGATCGAATAAGGACCATACACAGGATCCCCTTGACAGGATCTGATTTGTTCTGATACCAACTTGATACAAGTCATCGTGCGAACACCTTTGATCGTGAAATTATCAACGGTGGGTTGAGAAAAAGACAATAGAAAACACAAGACAATTCAGTTTTGGTGAAGGAAACTACCTCTAGATTATGAGTATCAATTGTTTTACAAATCTCTCTCATAATCTCTCTAGAATAGAGAACAATCCTCTTTAATCTTCAATCTCACGAAATTCTGGTTAGGAAATCCCTAAATAATAGGGTTTTAAGTTATACAAACCTTAGAAACCAAATCCCAACAAGAACCTGGAAAAACAGCCCAACACGTTATAAGTCGACTTACGGGTTCCGTAAGTCGACTTATAAACAGTCGAAAATGTGCACAAATGTGCACAACCCCCTTAAGTCCAGACTTATGCTTTTATAAGTCGACTCAGCAAAAACTTTTTGATAACTAGAGTGGGTTTCGTAAGTCGACACATGCAAACCTTACGTCGACTTATGAACTGAAAACTCCACGCTTCGATTTCGCACTCCGCCGTTTCGCTTCACGCTTCAACCTGACGCTTTTATTCTCAAGCTACCATGAGAATCGTCTATCCTCAGAGCAAATGATTTTGATATTGGTAGAAAATTGGGTATGAATATAAGCATTAAAAAGTATTGAAAACAGAAAATACTTCATCTTTAGAATGGAGAAAATAAATCCATGTGAAACGAAACGACTATAGTCGTCAATAAAAGTGACAAAGTACTTATAATTAGAATGAGAGGTAACGGGTGCCATACCCCACAAATCACTATGTATCAAATTAAAAGGCTGGACTACTTTTGGTGTGTGAGTGGGAAAGGGCAGAGTTTTACTTTTGCGGCTTTGCCAAGTTTACAAGAATTGCAATCAAACTGAACAGAATTCAAAGATGGTAACTTTTTATTCCCAAGTAAACCAGAATTTAGCAAATCATGAAGTACGTTAGAGTTTGGATGACCGAGATGTTTATGCCATGCTAGGTAATCGACATGAGCAGAAATACAAGTGACAAAGGGCAAGGCGAAACATGGAGACAAAGGAAATTGGAGAGGAAAAAGACGTCCTACTTAGGCCCCCTTGCTATCATCTTCCCTGATTGCTGATCCTGCACAACACAGCCAGATTTAGAAAATTCCACTTTACAATTATTGTCAACCAACTGACCGACAGAAACAAGATTAGTGGCAAGGCTAGGAGAGACAAAGACATCAGTTAGAGAGGAAGAAATATCACTAGGGGCTGTGATAGGTAAATGGTTGCCATCAGCAGTATGTATGTCAAGATGTCCGGAATATTTGTTTACATTGGTTAGGAAATGAGCACTGTTTGTCATATGATGGGAAGCCCCATAATCAAAGTACCAAGTAGATGATGTAGAGGAGGATTTACCTGAGAGTCTTAAAGCAGAGATTGCAGAAATAATCATTTGCTGAACTATTTCAGGGGTTACGGTTTGAACAGGAGTAGGAGCACTTTGTGTCAAATGTGCTCTCTCCACAGAACCACCAGTACTAGAAGAGCCAACTGACACAGCATATGCTGTTTCAAATCTCTTTGGGGATCGGGTAGGGCATTCCTTGATAATATGGTTATCCTTTTTGCAGTAGTTACAGAATTTTTTTGAACAGGTTGAAGCATAATGACCAAATCCTTTGCAACAAAAACACTGAATAGTGCTCATGTCCCTGCCTCTTGGCTTACCTTGTGCTGCATAAGCCACAGGAACAGAGGTGGATCTTTGTTGTTCCATGGTGGTTTGAGTGACATGGCGCTGCTCCTCACGAAATAAATCATTGAGACATGCATCCAAGGAGGGAACAAGATCTCGGTTCATAAGATTGGATCTGGTACCTTCAAATTCAGGTCTCAATTTCATAAGAAATTGATCCCTTTTAGCAGTTTCATGGACAGATTAAACAGAACTAAGACCTTCGGGAGGTAAGGTAACATAGATTATATCAAGGTAACATAGATTATATCAGTATATTCAGCCCAAATATTCATGAAGCTAGAGTAAAAATCAGAGATAGAGAGGCTGTCCAGTTGGAGAATGACTAAATCATGTTCAAGCTGGAATCGACGAGCAGAATTGTGTTGACTGTAAAGCTTCTTGAAGTAAGTCCACATCTCGGCTGCAGTCTTGAAGGGTCGAAGATTCAAGATGATATTGGATTTGACAGATCCTAGAATCCATGTCATGATTTAAGCATCATTGACCTCCCACTTGGCATGCTCATCCTTGTTTTTGTTTTTGTCAGGAGCAGGATTGCTGCCATCAACATGGCCCCATAGATCCTTGCCTTTAACAAATATCTGGAAGTGGAATGCCCAGGCTGAGTAGTTTTTGCCATTAAAACGAATCAAGAAAGAATCATACTTGTCTGAAGACATGATGCCGAGATAACTTCATTGAGAACAACTAAGATCGAGAACAACTAAGATCAAGAGACTGAACAAGGGCTGATTTGAACAAGAGAATGAACTAGGGCTGATTCTGCTTTGAACCAGACGCTGGGGCTGAGTTGAACAAGAGGACAAGAGACACATGAACATTCAGAATTGTGGCTCTAATACCATGACAAACTTAGAAAATTTTGAGTAAAAAGAATATTTTCTCTGGGAGGAGAATTCCTCTTATATACTGAATACAAGCTAATCTTCAGCCCTTAAAATAGCTAAACTACCATATACAAATTCTACAGCTAGTATATCCTAATTAAGGAAAGAATAAAAGATTTACAAATATAGAGGATACTGTCAAGGCATAGAATCTGCTAGCTTTAAATAGCCAGCTGATTTGTTTGACATTTTTCATACTGCTTTATCACAACAGTAGTTTCAGCTATCTACCACGAACAGAAAACAGAATTGTTTGTCACTTTGTCTGCAGTCTTTCCATTGTGCCCTTCGATTATGCAGCACCTGGTTAAATCATTCTCCATAGCAAGTGGAGGGAGGGAAAACACTCCATTTATACTTGACAGTAACAAAATAGCATGGCCAACAGAAAAAGAACAGTAGTCCAACTCTCTTTCTTTTCCCTCTAGTTCACTTTTCTTTCTCCGTTTATTTTGTTCTCCTTTTCTCCCTTCTTCAGGTCCCCTTGCTCTCCTGGTTCTCTTTGCTCATTGTACCTGCCAATGCCTCCTTTGTTTCATCTCCTCCACAAGCACATAGAGGCTCCTCCTACTCTTCCTGAGACTCGAGACTAGAAATTAGCTTGATTATTATCTTTGATATAGATTACTAGTCCTTGTCAATTCGTGTCCTTAATGATTCAGCTGCTAAGGAGTCTGAAACTGGTTTTACCTACAAGACCATTGGTGCCATCTAGTATACAGATTTACAGAATGTCAAGGCCAATGGAATATTTATTTCATTTTGCTAGTTCAAAAAAATGTAGTGGAAGCTCAGGAACTTGGATGATTGCATATAGCTGGCCAGGCCT